CCCCCCCCCCCCCCCCTTGTATGTGTTGTATGGTTTCTTAAAGTGGGGAGGTCTCAAAAAACAAATCACCCTGTTAAACATTCCAGTGGTTCTGTGGGTTGCTTTTATAAAGAAGGTGAGCTATTTTCATGATAAAAAAAAAAAAACCTAAGAGCTGGAAATCTGTTGTTTCCCAAATGTAATTTTATTTTGTCAGTTTTGAGAGAAAAAAAAAAAAAAAGAAAAAAGGACAAAAAAAAAAATGAAATAAAAGTGTAATCCTGTTTTTAAACGAAATACAAACATTTCTTTTCCAAGGGCAGGTCGGTTGTATGTACCCACTGTTAAGGAATTTTGCTGGATTTATCTTAATAAAAAAGACTCCTCAAAAGCTGATTGTGGTTTGTTGGTTGTGCCCCTGGCGAGCTGCCTGCTTCCAGGAGAGCTGCTGCAGGAGCCTGAGGGGGCCCTGGGCAGCTGGTTTGGAGGGTTCTTTGTGCTGAGGATGTTTTCTTGGGCTCATTTAAACTTCTCCTGGCATGGTGGGGGGGGTGTGGATAGTTGTTCTCCCACCAAACTCAAGTTATTTTGGCAGTTAAATGGAGCTGGGCAGTGGTTTCACCCAGCCCATTTTTGTTGCTGCTGCTATCCTGTGGAACTTATCAAAGACACTCCAAATCTTCCAAAAACCTCCTTTTCTAGAAATTCTCTTCCCATTGATGACCAAATGATACATTTAATAAGAAGGAAAAATGTCCGCAGTGCAGAAACCTTCTGCACTAAATTGCTCTGCAGCCCAGAAATGTGGAATTCCAAGAGCCTGCATATTTTACCTCCTCTCCAAACCCTAACTCAGCATCTCAGGGCGTCGTGCCTTGGATTAAAAGTGAGTTTCAGGCTCTGTACCCCAGGGCACTGGCCACCAGATGATGTTTAATGTGGATTTAATTTTCACCGGGGGGATTTTGATGGCTGGTGTTTGATGCTGAATGTCCCAGGCTGAAGAGGATCCAGCAGGGGTTGGAATATCAGCTTGGCACTTGGATACCTAAGAGTTATTTACTGAAATGGGGCTGGTTTTGAGGAATAAAAGGGTCACACAAGCCCAGCACCATTTGGACATGTGGTGCAGTTGGTTTTAGGGGCTGACTGGAGGCTGCTTGAATCACCAATGGGCTTGTGCTGCTTTGGGGAGAAAAGGTGTCTTGGAAGGAAACAATTTCTATTTGCATATTCCCACCACCCTCAATGGTTCCTCTGAAGGGGCTGAAAACACCAAATCTACTTCTGCAAGGAACCTTCTCCAGACCTGGGTCCCATTGAACCATTTCTGGTTGGCTGCAGCCTCCTGTTGCTGAAGGTTTTGAGCATTGTGAGGTAAATAGCAGCAGACACTATAAATCTGGTCGATCTTTTCTTCTTAGCAGAGGGTTCATCCAGATGCCAAGGTTTAATCAGCCTGTCAGACACTAATTGAGGTCATTCTGCATGTGGAGTCGTTTCTCCACTCTGACGTGGCCGTTGGTCCACAAAAAAAAACCCCATCCAGCTGAGGGTTTGGTTTTGTTTATTTCTTCCCCTTCTAGTGCCAGGGCAAGAGTTGTTCTTATTTCTATAACTATTGTTAAAATCAGATTCCTCTTTCAAAGAAGGGCAGGAATTGCTTAAGAAGTTCTCAGAGAAACCTCCTTGCTCCAACGCGTGACTCTGCTGAGCAATGGGGCACTGAGTGAGTTGCACAACTCAGCCAAGTCTTGTCTGCTGCCAACTCCTCCTCATCTGCTGGCCCTGGTGGCTGGACAGGGAGTCAAAGGCCACATCATCTCCTCCAACCCCCCCTGCTCCAGCAGCTCACCCCCAGCAGGGTGTCCAGGGGCACAGCCAGGAGGGCTTGGAGTCTCTCCAGAGAAGGAAACTCCACAGCCTCTCTCTGGGCAGATGTTCAGAGCAAGGAATTTTCTCCTCCTGGTCAGGTGGAACCTCCTGGGTTCCAGTTTGTGCCCGTTGTCCTGTCACTGGGCACCACTGACAAGAGTCTGGCCACATTCTCTTCCCCCCTGCCCTTTAGCTCTTGCTCAGCACTGATTAGATCTCCTCTTCTCTCTTCTCTTCTCTTCTCTTCTCTTCTCTTCTCTTCTCTTCTCTTCTCTTCTCTTCTCTTCTCTTCTCTTCTCTTCTCTTCTCTTCTCTTCTCTTCTCTTCTCTTCTCTTCTCTTCTCTTCTCTTCTCTTCTCTTCTCTTCTCTTCTCTTCTCTTCTCTTCTCTTCTCTTCTCTTCTCTTCTCTTCTCTTCTCTTCTCTTCTCTTCTCTTCTCTTCTCTTCTCTTCTCTTCTCTTCTCTTCTCTTCTCTTTCTCTTCTCTTCCCTTTCTCTTCTCTTCCCTTTCTCTTCTCTTCCCTTTCTCTTCTCTTCCCTTTCTCTTCCCTTTCTCTTCTCCTCTCCTCTCAACAGGTCTGATCTGCAGAGCAGAAGCAACTTCCCTGGTGGCTAATGGAGCCACACTGGTGCCAGTCTGATGAGGTGGGAGGAAAACTGAATCCCCTGAGCAGAAACGATGGCTGCTCTTCCTGATGGCCCCAGTGGTGAGGTTCCTCCCCCGTGCTGCTGGGGTGGGAGCCCTGCTCTGAAACCTGGTGCCCTGGCTGGGCTCCAGAGAGCCCAGGACACCCCTCAGGTCCCGCTGCTGCGTGGCTTGCCAGGAGCTTCTCCCATTTGGAGAGAGTCCACGTGGCTTCTGGCCACCATCCCAGTGCCCCAGAGAGGGGAGCTGGGCGACAGGAGTCTTTGGTGTCTCACTTGGCCACTGTCCCCAGCTTCTGCAGGAGCAGATTAGGATCAGGTTTGGGGGGACTCCAGGAGGGGATGGGGTGAGGACCAGCGTGCCTGGTCCTCTCCATCTGCCCCAGTTCAGCCAGCTCTGCCAGGAGAGGACGGTGAGGGGTTGGGGGAGAGGGTCTCGATGCCCACGCTGCCTTCCCTGTGGCACCAGGGATGGAGACACTGGAAATGTGTCTAAAAGAAACACCTACGTGGTATCCAAATGCATCAGTGTGACCTTCAGACTGACACCTGAGGACCATGACACGAAGTAGGTGCTTATGTGGTACCAAAAAAACCAATCACAAATTAGAAAGCTCTGGTTTTGCCTAAAAGAGTGGGAATCAAATGGACACCACACAGCTCCCAAGGGCAAGTTAGTACAATTGGGCACATCTTAACCATTTCCAGACGTTCTGAAGGAAAAGAGAAAAAGGGGATGGGAGCAGAAATAACACAGGCAAGAAAAAAATGTGGTATTGAAACCTAAAAATAGAGCAGTGGAGACCATTTCTCCCCAGTCCTCCCGTGGGCACAGCTCCTCGGGTTGCCCTTTGGCAGTGCCTCCTTCCTGGCCACCCCAGCCTGGAATTCCCAGCCTGGAATTCCTGTGTCTGAGTGACCCGTGCCCAAAATCCAGAAAAAAATCCCTTGGGTTGGCTTTGCTGAACAGCAACAATTTGGGGAAGGGGTGGCCGTGCATTTTTTGGAGCTCAAACCAGATGGGAGATGTCTGACCCACCAAAAGCTTCCTGGTGCTCTCCTGTTGGTTTTCCCCCAGAGAGATAAAAGCAACTTCTGAGAAGGTTTTGGTGGTGGCACTCTCAGATTTCCTCCTGGCTACGAGGTGTTGGCAGATGCTGCTCTGAGAGACCACAAATGATCTTTTATTGTTTTACCAGGCTGGGGTTCTCCCAGACACGTGGTGTGTCCTCAGAGGGAGGTGGTCACCCAGCCCAGGATGGAGCCAGGGCTGCCCAGCTGGGTTGAAACCTTGCTTGGTTTGGTTTCCTCCTCCACAGACCCATCCCTACGGCCACAGAGGTGCCACCTGCAGCCACATCACCCACTCACAGTCCCATCAGGTGCTGGAGTTGTCTCTCCAAAGCTCAGGAAGTCCTGCAGGATCTGCCTGTCCTCCAGGCCACCTCGGGGAGATCTTTCCATGCTGCAAAGAGGGATTGGCAAATCTGGGCTGAGCTTTCCCTGCCCTGGCTCCACCACCAGAGCTCCCTGGAGTCAACGCCCAAATTCCTGCTCTCTGCTCACCCCTCTGTAGCCCAGTGGGTTCCTCCTCTCTACCTGGAGCACTACCTGGGAAGTAATTAAAATAATTAACAAGTGTCATTAACTGTTGGAGGGTAAAGGGGAGTTTTAGCCCATTCTATCAGCAACTATTCAATAAATTACCCTTTTTGTTTTGCAAAGAGTTGTCAGGTGGTGGAAAAAAGGAGCTGGAGACTCATGGCAGACAAAGCCAACCAGGGGTCAACGCCTCTTGTGTTGGGAGACAAAGCAAAGAGGCACCAAATGAAATCACCAAGTGGCAGATGCAAAATGAACGTATTTCACAGAGATATTTATTCCTCTCTCCTCTCCTCTCCTCTCCTCTCCTCTCCTCTCCGTTTCTCTCTCCAGCCCAAACCTCTCTACTTTCAGGAGATGGAAGAGAAATTCTCTGCAGCTGCTCGTGTGGTGCAGGGGGTTTTGTTTAAAAAAAATAAGACAGATTTTTCATTCCTTTCTTTCAGGGCAATTTTCCTCCCAGTTGCTGGAAACCTGTCTGCTAAAAGGCTTAGAAAGTGGAAAGGAAAAGGGCAGC